AAGCCGGTTAAAATTGGTCAATTCGTTCAAGAAATATCATGAACGAAAAAAAACAAAAAAAGTGTTTTTTTGGAATTACTCCAAATTTCCTAGTTTTATCAATTCAAACTTAAAAATTTTTCCTAAAACTTAAAAAATGCCGTCAAATACTGCCACCCGCGTGAAAATCAAGTGATTCATTTAAAAGTTAGTGCGGTTTGAATATTTAACAAATATTGTTCTATGATACTTTCATCAGACTTTTGAGCTCGAAGAGCTCAGAATAATACATAAATTGTATTTTTAAGCTCGAAGAGCTCAAAAACGTCAGTAGTGTAGTTTTATGCACCTAGGTATGGAATTAGCGGGAAGTTGCACGGATGGCCTTCAGGGTCTACCGTCTTTCTAATTTTTTTTCTTGAAGGCGCTGCGCGTAAGCTGTGATAGCTGACCAGTTTTCTTCTTTTTTGATAATGTAGGTTACCAAGTTCTCAGGGGAGAGCGTTGTGCCTGTTGTTTCTTCGGTGCTGATTTTGTCGTCCTTCCACCGATCACACTCGAAAAACGTGTGCTCGGCATTGTCAATTTTGTCTGGGCAGTATTTGCACGTGGGTGTGCTGTGCAAACCCATCTTGAAAAGATAGGCATTGAACTGCCCATATCCCGTCAATAGCTGGGTCAGAAGAAGTCTGTGTCCCCGTGCTTTCGAGAAAGGCAGACGTTGATGTTTAAGATTAGACGCGCTGTCCATCTGCCCGTCTCTTCCGAAGTCCATCGGTCCTGCCACTGTTGCTGCGTATCCGTTTTTATCCTCGTTCTGGCCTCCTTCATGTTTTCGCTACTGACTTTAGCATCGTAGAGTCTTACTTTCTCGAACGCTAGTAGGACGATGGGTGCAGCTCCTGCAATGACCAATACAGCCGCTTCGGAAACCGTGCGGTAGGCGCAGGCAACTCTAAGAGCACCTCGTCGATGCACTGCTGACATTTTCCGCCAGTAGGTCTTTTGTTTTAATATGTCTGCCCATGTTTCTGCTCCATAAAGCAGTACCGAATGGACTGCTTCCAGAAGGGCTCTCCTCCTTTTGGGTCTTGGTCCCACAATGTTCGTCATAATTCTTGCTAGGCTAGACACCGTCTTTTTCGCTTTCAGGCATGCATCATTGATGTGTTAGCGGAAAGATAGTTCTTCGTCTATCATCACCCCCAGATAGCGCAGACCCCTTGTTGACGTTAGTGTTGTTCCTCCCATATCCACAGCGAATGGTTTTGGGAACCATTTTTGACGAGTCAGAACGACCATCTCGGTTTTGTGCTTGGCGAGTTTCAGGTGGTGTTTATCGAGCCAAGTCTCGACGGCATCAATAGTTTCCCGAACTAGCACTTCGGCCTTTTCTACGCTGTCCAACACTATAGTGGCCGCAACGTTGTCTGCAAAGCCCGTTAGCTCTACTTGTTTTGGTAACGGAATCTTAAGAAGCTCGTTGTAGTCCGCGTTCTATAAATCGGGCCCTATTATTGAGCCTTGTGGCACGCCAGCCGTTATGGTGTATTCTTGTGGTCCTTCTGTAGTTTCTGCTGTTAGCTTTCTTTTTTCTAGGTAGTTGTCGATTAGTGCCCAATTCTCTAGCTTTGCGTCAAATTTGTGTTCCAGAGCGTCTAGGATATCTCTCCGATTCGCACTGTTAAATGTGTTTTTGACATCTAGCGTTAGGACAATGCATACTTTACGAGCTTTGAGGCTACCAGTCCATGCTTCTCTCGCCGTCCCTACGACTTTCTGGATCACGTCAACTGTTGAACGTCCTTTCTGGAATCCATGTTGGTTTGCGGCAAAGCTTTCAGCTCGATCGATGTCATGTCGTAGTTTTCCCTGTATAAGCTTTTCGAGCAATTTTCCAGCAATGTCTAGCATCCAAAGTGGTGTGAACGACGAGGGTGTTACAGGGCCGCCTTTGCCTTTATCTAGCAGCACCAATCTCTGCCGTTTCCAGACCGCGGGAAACGTGCCAGTTGCCAAGCATGCGTTGTAGATGTTCAGGAATATGTTTGGGTATTCCAGGGCTACAGTCTTGATCACCGATGCTGGGATGCCATCAGGGCCGGGTGCCTTTCCTGTCTTGAAGGTCTTCGCTGCATCCTGTAACTCCTTGGTTGTGTAAAATGTTACACTGTTTTTCATGTAATGTCTTCTTTCCCTTGGTTGATGTTTGGGGAACAGCTCCGTGACGATGCTGCTCATTAAAGCAGTTGGTTTCGGCGCTTCTGGTGAAGCCTTTCCATGTCGTTTGGTGACAATTTGGTAGGCTTTATCCCAGATGTCTTTATCTAGGTTGTTACAGATCTCTTGCCACAATTTCGCTTTGCTTGCTTTGATTGCCCGGTTTAGGTTCTTTTTGGCCTCTTTATACTCGCTAGAAAGTAGATTTTAATTGGGGGAGCGTTTCGCAGCTCTCGTTGCTAGCCGACGTCGTTTGTGGCATCTTGTCCGGAGTTCTGCTATGTTTGGTGACCACCAGTACGCCGGCCTGTGGAAACTCCGATTTTTCAGCCGTGGCGTTGAAGCGTCACATGCAGCAGCAATCTCCTTTATCGTGTTTAGCACTGCTTTTTCCGTCTCGCTGCAGTTATCCTTCCGCTTAGAAAGGCCGCGTTGTGAAACCGGAGCAGATGCCAATCCAACGTTGAATGTCACGAACTAGTGATCACTGCCACTGTATTCTTCCGATACAGTCCAGTCTCCAATCATGTTGGCAGTCCTTGGAGTTGCCAACGAAATGTCGAGGATAGATTCTTGGTACCCTGGCCTTCTAAAAGTCGTGGTGCTCCCAGTGTTCAGCACTATGAGGTTAAGTCTAGCCGCGACGTCAGCGACCTCGTTATCTCTGGTATCGGAGAAAGCAGCGTCCCACTCAGCCGATTTAGCGTTGAAGCCTCTGGCTACGATGACTTCGCCGGCGAACTTAGTGACCACATCTTCTATATTTGCCAGTTTCTGACGGAACACACTAATCCCTTTGTTAGGTGAGAGATAGATGCTCATGAAGTAGGTTGTGGGGGATTGAATTCAGACAAAACCTGCTCCGCTTCCGCTGTTGTTGACGCTAACGTTCTTAGCGTTCACAATCCAAATTGCTGCCGTGCCAGTTTCGTCTGCGAACCATGTTTTACTTTCGATATTTAGATATTGCTCGCAGATAAAGCAGACGTCGATTTTATCTTCAAAGACACGTTGGCGCAGCAGGTTTTGCGCCAAGGCGCATCTATCCAGGTTGCCTTGTAGTATGAGTATCATTCCTACCCTCTCTTGGCTTCTGCAAGTGCTGTGCGGGATGCTCTCCAGGCTCCAGTGCCAGAAATATGGCATAAACCATCCTGGGCACTGGCCTCGTCTACTTCGCAGAAGGCTGCCCGACTACCTCGTGGTGTGGGTTTTGTCAAATTTACCCGTTAGACCTCCAGGCTGTCAGTGAATTTACGTTTGAGTACGTCACGGCCTTCGCTCTCGATAGAGATTTCATCCAAGTCGAGGATCTCGATCGTTGTTGTTGGTGTTAGCGTCTTGACCGTGCCAATGTTTGCAGTGGCTGACTTTACTGCATCGGTGAAAGCCTTGCTGTATTATTTATTTATTTATTTATTTATTTCTTTGTAAAAGACCCAACAGCCAATGGCCATTAACAGGGTCACATAAGTATACAATTGAGATACAATATATAAATTTTTACATTATTATAATACAATTTTAGATACCAAGTAGTTTGTGTAAGTAGATACAATACTTCTTAATTAATTAATTAATAAAGTTAAAAAACAAATTGTAATTAAAAATGAAGACAGCGGCCAAGGGCATTATATTAATAATTGAAAATAGTTAATCTAAATTTGTAATCATTCCAGCACATTGAATTAATGATACAAATATAACATTCTGAAATAAATAAGATTAATAATAAATAAAATTAATAATATTAATAATATAGGAAATGCACGAGTCAAAACGTCAGGTGGTTATTAATTCATAATTGGTTCTCTTTAACAAAAAATTCTTTATCATTAAATATTTCATTACAATAAATACCTAGTTTGAGCCAGGTTTCTCTAAGTGCATAAAAATCAAATTCAGGTACTATTGTTTTATAATACACTTCTCTTAATTTAGATCTTAACCCTTTGACGTTCTGATACAATATATTGAAGTTGCTTATTAAGGTGTGGCATATTGAGATACGTTCGGCATCGAGGCGAGAGGTTGACGATTGTGAGTAGTTATCATCGGAGCTCCATTCCTCGTGACTATCTTCAGGTTCAACTCTCCATGTGCTTTGCGTTGAATGAATTCAGCACGAAGATCATTGTATTCTTGACGTTGCCGGTTCGTTCTGTCCTTGGTAATTGATAATTTCTGAATTGACGGAATTACATTTGCTTGATGCTTCGATTTCAGCAACCCGTTTATTAGTAAATCAACATGATGTACATGTGAAAGAAAAATCTTAATAGGTCTTGGCAAAGCCAAAGATGATTAGAATTTACCAATTCTAGTACATCCTTTAATACTGATACCAGGAGCAACAATATTGCATTTCAAATGCCTGGGACATACTTTGGTTTAATGAATTTAATGAAACAAATTAACTTTCGGTACTTTTTATTGAAGAAGATTGTTAGTTAACTAATTAAGTTAATAAACATTATGGACCAAATTATATATTATTGACGAATAACTCAAAATTTAATCTTAAATTTTTAATTTTGGGACTGGGACAGCCCAGGGGACTGAGATTTTGGTGGTTTACGAATTTATAGCAAAAAAAACCAAAATTTATTCCATTTTAGTTTTCAATGCTCCAAATAGAAATGTTTTTTTACTTTCATAATATATTATTTTAGTAACAAAATAACAATTTTTCTAATTAAAAAATGCCTGGGACAGCAAAAAACATCCTTACAGAGAATCACCCATATAAATTTACTAGTTAATAAAAGCATTCAATTCATAATGTATTTAATTACTTTTAGGTTAATGTTTCTGATGATGAAGAGACGAATGATGAAGAAGATGTTATCGGAGATTTCCATAGTGATCGTAAGGTTATAGGGGCCGAGAAGACAAACAATCGAGAATCGTCACGTGCTGAAATGATTAAAAAACTGCCAAATTCAGTTAATCCAACAAAATTTAATGTTAAACCCGGAACCAGTAAGGTATTTATTTTTCTTAATCTTGACAATTTATATGGTTACTAAATCTTAAATAAAAAAATTTATTTTTAATTTTCAATTGAAAGATTTAAATTTCAACATGAAATTTTTCCAATTTCAATTGCGTTTAAGTTTATTTTTGTTAAGGCAATAACAAAATAAATTAATATTGCTCACCTTCGTTTTTATCCTAGAATTTTATATAAAAAATAATCGTGTTTAGCCGAACTGAGTACTGAGTGAACTTAGTAACAATGTGTATAGTCTAAGCATTTTTTATTTTAGTTATTTTTAATGAGTTTACTCAGTACTTAGCTTGACTGAATAGTCCCAATAATTCTATCGAGTTTCATAAAAACATGCAAGACTCGTTAATTATCTCAGGTATACACTTAATGATAAACCGTGTAAAATAACACTCAATTAATTAAACATAAATATAATTGATGAACTAAAACTATTATTTAATAATTAACAACTATTTAGGTATAATAAAGTAAAATTATAGTCATTTTGCTATAAAATAGGTTTAGTTTATTTTTTTTCAAAATAAATCATTAAAATAAAAAACATAAAAGTCAAACTACGTAAGTTGAAATTAGTAAAATTCATTTAGGCATTTTCAATAATATTTCAAGTTTTTTTGCTGTTAAACAAATTATTTTTTTCTTAAAAAAGAAAGTTCCTTTCTGTTTATTTATTGATTTTTATTTATTTAATAATTTTCAATGTGTTTTGACTTAATTAATGTACTTTATGTTTAGAGTGGTAACATAGACGTACCAGAGAATGGCCAAGAAAAAATTAAAGTAACGTCGGATAAACATGTTCAATTAGACGATCATCTAGCACAATTACATCAGCAACGAAAATTGGAAGAAAAGAGATTAAAAGAAGAAGAACAGGCAATATTAGAACGTCGAGAATTAGAACGACAGCGTCACCGTACGCGTGTACAACAACAACGTCGCTTACTGGAGACTCAAAAACAACAACGACGCAACCGAAATGATAATGATATTTATCTACAAAATGATCAGTTCCTGTTAGGTGATGACTTTTATATTTCTAGTGCAGCTTATCGTGATGCAAACACGGCTGATACTCCATCACGATTCATAATAAGAATGGCACATGCTATTTGGCCGACTGCAGAACTGGCTCAAAGAGTCATCAGGAAGCAAAGCAACACTGGTGATAGAAAATCTCTCACACCTAGAAAAGTAGAGTTGCTATCATATCGTTTCGAGGAGTTTTTGGTAGATAGGAATTATTCCGAAGAAAGAACAGGATTTGAATTAGCTAAAATGAATAAATATTTGGGTGAGTCAATTACGTCAGCAAAGAAGAAATTAGGGTTTTCAAAAGGGAAACAATCAAATTAAACAAGTGTTTCATTAAAAATTAAAATTTTATAATTATTCTTTTAAAATACCTTTTGAGCTAACCTTTTTTAAAATATACTTTTTTTGAAATGGAGATATAATTTAGAATTAATATCGGTTGACTGTTACGAAAATAAAAAAAAATGAATAACTTTTTTATAATCAACTTTGTTCTACTGCTAAATATGCTTACTTTTTATAAATTTGGTTTATTGATAACTTTCTGCTTTAGTATAAGTAATATAAGATTTTTTATAGATTATTTGTATTTAGATAACTCATATGTGATATCTATGTTTGAGTATACGTAATAACCAAAAAAAAAATAGTATAACTTTAAGGAAAAGTATTAACCGGCTTCAGCTGAGGTGTAATTCTTGCATTTAAGAAGAAAGAAAAGAACATTAAATTTATTAAGTTTTGTATGTTTAAAAGTTGTTACAACGGTTAATTAAAAACACTTAATTGTTTATCATTAAGTTAATAATTTAAGAAATGTTTAAGAATATCGTGATATCATTTTAAGAACTACTTAGTGTTTATCTTCTTTTTGTATTGACATTTATTTAACTTATTTCTGTTTAGAAATGTTTTGTATTAATTTAGTGAAGTTTATTACTATCAAGCAATATCCTGCCAAAAATATTAATGTTTTAATGTTATGAATTAATTTTTAATTACTCAATAATTGAGTTTGATATTAAATTAAAAATATTAATATTATATAAGACAAAAAATTTGGTGTTATAAATTAATTATTTCAAACTAAAATATATATAAATTTAAGACTAAATATAATTCAATTTTAATGTTCATGCTCACATTACATTAATATAAATATTTATAATATTACTTACCGTAATACTACTAATTACTTAATTAAATTAGTCTCTTACATAGAGAAATATAATTTCTCCGAAGCAATAATTCACAACAAATGCACTAATAGTCAGCTATAAATTTCAAGAACTATATACCATACCCTGAATTACTCTTTTTGCAGCTGCTTGAACTTTATGGAAAATATTTTTATAAGTCAGAAAAACTCTTCCAGTAGCCGCTCCAAATTTGCTTCATAAAATTTTAATAAGTCAGAAAAACTCTTCCAGTAGCCGCTCCAAGTTTTCTTCATAAAATTTTAATAAGTCAAAAAAACTCTGAATAATTCTTTTAGTAGTCGCTGAAATTGACGGCAGAAAGATTTATTAACACTGAATAACTCTTCTGGAAGAGTCCGAAATTTTGGAATTACTCCGAATTTTTATATCTAATTCTGAGTTTTTCCGACTTTGTAAGACTTTTTTCGACTTTTTAAATAAAAATAAACATTCATAAACTGTTACTTTCACTTTGTAAGTTATTTACCGACTTTTATCCGAATTTCGGTCTTCGGAAAGAATACAAAAAAATTAAAATGAATAAAATAATTTCTGTTTTTTCCAATTCATTTCAATTCGGAAATATTACTTTATTTTTGACTTAGCCACTGATTGAAAAATATTAAAATAAATACAGAATTTGAAATATTTTTTAATTTAATTTAATCGGAAAATAAAGCATTATTTTCGCGGTCTCGCCAAGAATTGATAAATATTGAGATACATTCAATTATTTAAATATTTTTCAATATAAAAATAATGCTAATTTTCTGACTGCACCATAGTGATTGATATTTATTGAAGAGTGCTGAACTTTGTTAATACTTTTTAATGAACTTTCTTAATCCTTTTTAATCATTTTCAATACAAAAATAATACATAATTTTTGGAATCCCTAGGAATTAATAAATATTAGAAAGTACTGTAAAATTATCAATACTTTTTTATTATTTTTAATACAAAAATGATGCAAAATTTCTGACCACACCAGTGATTGATATTTATTGAAGAGTGCTGAACTTTGTTAATACTTTTTAATTATTTCCAATACAAAAATAATACACAATATTTGGACTCCTATGGAATTAATTAATATTAGAAAGTACTGAAAATTTTAAATACTTTTTAATTATTTTCAATACAAAATTAATGCATCATTTTTAGACTCCCATGGAATTAATAAATATTAGAGAGTACTGTAAAATTATCAATAATTTTTAATTTTTTTTAATACAAAAATAATACATAATTTTTGGACTCCCTAGGGATTGATATTTATTGAAGAATGCAGAATTTTCTTAATACTTTTTAATGATTTCCAATACAAAAATAATACATAATTTTTTGACTCCTATGGAATTAATAAATATTAGAGAGTACTGTATAATTTATCAATACTTTTTAACTATTTTCAATACAAAAATAATACGCACATCATTTTTGAACTCCCTAGGAATTAATAAATATCAGAAAGTACTGAAGGTTGTCAATACTTTTTAGTTATTTTCAATACAAAAATAATGCTAATTTTTTTACTCTATTAATGATTGATAAATATTAAGGAATATTGAACTTTCTTAACACTTTTTATTTATTTCTTTTTTTTTAATACAAAAATAATACATATTCGTAGATTTACTAGTATTTGATAAATATCGAAGTATACTCAACATTTTTAGGACGTTTTGAATGAAGGAATTCATTCTGGTACTCAAAGATGTATTGATAGAAATACTCCCATATAGCAAACATTTTCAAGGCTTGAGCAAATCTGGTCTCAATTTCGATAGTTATTGGTGTCTTTTTCTACCTATGGGTCTTGCTCCAGATACTTGTAGCAAATTCAATTCACAAGCCTTGTACAAGAACTTTGGGCCAGATTATAGCCCAAGTCTTGAGAAAGACTGACACCAGAAGCATGCTAAATATACTTGTGCAAGAGTTGCTCAAGATTTGCTCAAGATGAAATGTTTTTGAATGACCGTTCGCATCATTCTACCCCTCCTATATTTACTATAGAATCAGTGGATTTCTGAGAATTACGGATCTTGAGCAAATCTTGAGCAAGTCATGGGTAAGTCTTTGTTGTGAGTTTCTGGTACAAAAAATGCGTAAGAAAGTTTTTCAATGCACCTTGCTTTAGACTTGTCTCATATTCTTGCACAAGATGTCTTGAGCTAGTTACATATAAATCTTGAACCATGTCTTTTTAAATAAACTTGAGCGAGACCCATATGTAGATAAAGACACTAGCAACTAGGGGTTTTGCTCAAGACGCTGGCACCAAAATCTTACTCAAGCACATGTTACTTGGGCTTATGTGCATGCAAATATAAAAAAGGCCATTCGACAGCCGAAATGGAAGTAGATTTTTCAAATAAAGAAAATTGATTTTTAATAGAATAATATAATAACACTAACAATGGATAACCCTGTTGAAATAATCCCATAGATTCCAATAAAAAAAAAGCGTATGAGAACCTGATGTGTATTTTTCGCTGCAAATCCATATACATATTCATGCTAAATCTGTCAATAATTGCTAATATAACCTTTCTTTAATCATCTTGTTTGAATTCAATTGATTTATTGTTGTTTTTTTTTTGTTATAGGGAAACCGCAAGGTTATTAACCGGGAAAAACACCAAAAAAAATAAAAATCAGGATAAAACTTGTGATATATTAAATAAGGATGATAACCCTACACTGTTAAAAATTTCTATTGTATTTTTACAAAAAATGTCTTGGAAGTAATTACGCACCACGATTTAGTAATTTTAAAACTCAGTTTCGTAAATTTACAATATTATTTATTGTAATTTAATATAAGAAAATCACAACATATTTGTTGAAATTTACTAAACTTTTACTGAAAAAAAGTTTAGTAAAATTCCTAACACGTATTGTAATTTTACTATACTATTTATTGTAATTTAATATAAGAAAATTACAACATATTTGTTGAAATTTACTAAACTTTTACTGAAAAAAAGTTTAGTAAAATTCCTAACACGTTTTGTAATTTTACTTATCAAATGATACCCAAGATGTTTAGTAATTTTAGAATGAAGTATTGTACTTATACTATGCATTCATTCCATCCTATCTAGGCTTGCAACAAGTAGGCTTTGCATCGTCTCATACGATTACCAATAACGAAAATTCAGAATAAGATGATTTATATAGCTATAAAAGCATTATCATGCTCAGAATATAATATAAAAAGGAAAAAAACCTATGTGCTACTCTTTCTATAATTGTTCTACTTTAAATTAGTCTTGTAATTTTTTTTAATTGTTTTTCTACTCTAAAAAATTAGAAAAAAAAAAAAAAAAAACATTCTTATTGCTTGCAAAAATTTTTTTACGTAGTCTTTAAAAGTCTTTTTAAGTCTTTCAAATTTCTGCCAATTCGCAGAAAAAAAACGACCTATATAGAGTTTAAAAGACTTTTTTAGACTTTCTTAGAATTTTAAACTAAAGATAACTCTTTTAATAGTCTAATTTACTCTTTAATATAATTTTTTCGACTTTTTATTCCGTGACCATTTCCACAAGGGGTAACCTTATGTATAGGTTAGCATATAATTCTAAATCAGGCAGGTTATTTTTTATAGGCCATTTTTTTTGTTGGCAGCAAACTTGTCCCATTTCTACAAAAATATCATGATCAGAGTAGTGGTATTTTCGGCCTTTTCGACTCTTCTGGGCCTCCAGTTTTCTTCTCTTTTCTTTGTTCTATAAAATATTAAAAAATTGAAACTAATTATTTTCTATCATAAATTTTCGTGTTATGATATTTTTATAACTTATTTGGTTATAATAAGTACATTTTTGATTTGATTTTATTTTATTTAATTAATAATTTTAGTTATTTTATTTATTTTATAATTATTTTTCAATATAGGAATATATATTTTTATTATTAATTACAGATCATTAGTAAAAGTTTCTCTATCCAGTAGGATAGCACCTTTCTACTACTTTACCTGGGGAAGGGGAACCTATACCTGGCAGGTGAGGTTCGACTTTGACACTGGATATACCAGTCTATAGGTGTTGTGAAGAAGGTATATTATAAGCGGGGAGACGGAGGGGTGTCGTGAGCGACGAGAGACGGGACTCATCGACGGACCAAGCGAGCTACCGCTACCGCGACCGCGTCGACTGGCCCAAGCCACGGCAGTCTATTTATTTAAGTTTATTTTCAGTATTATGAGTTTAAATATTTTTGTTCATTGTTAATTATTATTATTAATTAATAGTATTATTATTACAAGTATATACTTATTGGAAAGTATTGATTGTTAAATTATTGAAACGTCATTTAGAATAATTATTTGAACTAATTACTTTAACGAGTTTCGTTTAGTTTTGAGTTTCGTTTATTTTATTATTTGTTTACGACGATTATTATTATAAATAATAATCTGTATATGATTTTTTTGTTTATAATTGTTTCTTTGATTAGAATTATTTTAAACGACGGCTATTAGATAAAGGAATTTTGTTAGTTCGCCATCGCGCGATAGATGGCGTCGACGGTTCGCTCGTGATAAAAATCGCCGAGCTGATATAAGCAAAACCGCGTCACGATAATTTTTGTTCTTTCAAAGAACAAAAATTCACTTTATCTGAAATAATGAATTGATTAAAATATTTCGAATAAATTCGAAATATCCAATTAATTATTTTTCTAAGTCCCAGTAATTAAATTAGTATGGGAAATAATTTTGGTAAAATATTTATTTTTGTATGAAATTATTTTTCTAAGTTTCGACGTTGAATTTGTATGGAAATGTAATTCGATTGAAATTAATGTAATCTGTTGAATTGTTTGAATGAATCTGATATTTAATTTTTAAAATTTAATTAAAAACTTATAAATTTTCGGGGATTTCCCGTAGTTCGACGGCGAGCGATAGGTGGCAATAATTCGCTAATACTTTTCGCTTTTAGTAATAATTTTCGGGTTAATAAAGCCCGAAAATTATCCGCCGTTGAGCAACCTTTCTCTGGGTTTAATTTACTTGTCTGGAGACTTCTGGCCAAGGAAATTAAAGAGAGTTCTCTCTACCTGGTGCGGACTACCACAGGTAAGTGAACTTATCTACCTACGAGTAAAGGTGACTCTCCACCTGGAGGCCTTCAGCCAAAAGGTGGCAACCCCAGCCGAGTAGGTGAGGGAGAGGTGGATTTTATTCACTCTTCCTTTGGGAATCGCGGATAGGGCCTGCGGGGCGGCGCTAGTCACCCGCCAGGAGCTGGGCACCAGAGGGCCGACAGAAGGGGAATTAGCGACGTGTTTTTGAGAGGTACGACGGGCGAATGATATTACCGACGACGGTAATGGAAATTGTAAACGCCGTGTATGTATGGGTTTATTTTGTTTAATCGCCGTTTTCGTTTGTAAAATGTTTAATGTTTCGTTAATTGAAATAAAGAGGTTTTGTTTTTTGTTAATATTAATTAAATTTCCGAGTTTAATTAATTTAAAAATTACCCTCGTTAGAATCCTGGATTCCGGCGAGCTTAAAATCGAGCCGGGGGTAAAAATTGGTCAAAAAGTACCCGTTACAGTGTATAATCCTGTTACCTGGCTCTCATCATTCTCTCGGCATTCTTTCCATTGGATTGTTTGGAAAGAAGGAGCGAGCAATCCTCAATCAGTGTTATTGTACTTAATACTGATGAGAAAAGGTGTCGCTAGCGACATCTGTAGTTGTTTTTTTTTTTCAACTATTTACAGCGCTATTAGAGTGTAAAATTTATCTACTTCTTACGCGCGGCTTCCATAACTCTATATACAGTGGACTTCCACACAGAAAAAAAAATGTTCTTGAATCAAGTATATAATTTTGAAAAACTTAATATTAATATTAAAAAAATATTCGACTATTGGCTCAGTAGTAATATCAAATCAGTAAAATTAAGTAAAAATATGAAAGATTTATTATCAAGTTTATTACTCCAACTGAAATCGCAAGTCCCTCAAGATTTTCAGAGAACAACTAGGTCTCTAGATAATATTTCAAAATTTAAAGCTACTGAGTACTCATTTTTATTATTGTATGCTGGTTCAGTAATTTTAAAAAAAAGTCCTGTCTGAAGATGTTTACAAACATTTTTTACTGTTGCACGTGGGGATTAGATTACTATGTTCTAAAAATTTAGCTATTCAAAAAGTAAATCATGCAAAGTACTGTTTAAAATTATTTATTCGAACGTCAATAGTTTTATATGGGAAACAATGCCTCGTTAGTAATATGCATAGTCTCTACCATCTTTCTGATAACGTTCAACATATGAACTGCACGATCCCAGAAGTATCTGGTTATTCATTCGAGAATTATATTGGAAAATTAAGAAAATACATTCGAACTGGAAATCGCCCACTTGCTCAAGTATGTCGGCGACTAAGCGAGTTATCTTTAGCTAACACAGACAAACCTACAATTCCGGCTCGTATAAAAATTCTAAAACAATTACCTCCTGATGAAATGAATGATATACCGATTAAATGTGTTGAGTTTGAACAGTCAATTATTACATCAAAACATCCAAACAATGTAGTAATGCTGTTAAATAAAAAAAATCGTGTTAATTGAGAAAATATTTATACCAGTAGGTGAAAACTCGATTAAAATATCCGGCTTAAAATTAAAAAAAAAAGGTCCCATTTTTCAATATCCATTTAGTTCAGAATACCTTGATGAATGGACTGTTAGCAAAAGAAACTGTCAAAGAGTAACAGTTCCGTTAATTAGCATAGATAAAAAAATGGTACCCTTTTTAATAAATATGAACAATACAGAAAAAATGTACGCCATACCTTTATTACATATGTAATATTATGAAAATGTATTATAATCTATTGTACTCTATTAAATCTATTATACTCTTATAGTATTATAAATATTACTACAAAAATGTAATTTTATTAAATAAAAATCAAAAGTTGATAAAATAATAAATGAAAATTAATTTAGAATGAAAATTAAGTTAGTCGACAGTTAAAAATTAAAAATTTTTTTTATTGAAAAAATGACTACAAAAAAAAAAGAAAAAAAAATTGTCATTTGTTAAAAACTTGAAAAACTGTTAGTGCAATTTTTTAAAAATATTTTTTTAGTAGAAAAAATTTAGTAAGTAAAATGGAGTTAAAAAAAATGAAAATTTATATTTTAAATAAAATTACCAAATTTTTTGTAATCAGTCCGGGAGTGTCCCAATTAATTAAGACACCATTGTCGGTACAACCAATAATAATGTTTAGATTATCGGGAGACCAAGCTATTCCAGCAATTTTGTTATCTGCTGGTTCTAATTCACGGACAAAATCACCTGTTTGGGTGCTGTATGCTCTGATTACTTGCTTCCATACTACATACAATGTTCTGAAAAATAATTATTTATAAATAAACAAACAAGATTAAATTTTAATGATTATCAAATCCAATTCTTCAATCTGAGATAAAATTTTATACAATATTAAAATACATCAACATATTTAATATGTCTAGATAAAGTGCCAATAATTATTTATTTATTTATTTATTTATTTATTTATTTATTAGATTTAAATACCAAGGCGCGAAGCCGAATGACAAAAATGATACTTATAAAATTAACGAAAATTAAGTTAGCCGACATTTAAAAATAAAAAAAATTTTTTTTATTGAAAAAAATGACTACAGAAAAAAAAATTTCATTTGTAAAAAACTTTAAAAACTGTAAGTACAATTTAAAAAAAAAAATTTTTTTTTTCTAATTTAATTATTAAAAATAAAATTAAAAAATTAAGACCTTCAATGATGTAAATAAGCTTTTTACGCTTTTTTCTTTAAGCTCTGCCAGTAAGCCATCAACACGATTTTGATATTGCATGAACAAAGGTTCATGATCGTGTTTGCCATATACTATAATGACCCCACTGACAGTAATTAAAGCAGTCACTTGGCATACACGATGCATCAGAGCATAGGTACAATAAAATTTATCTTGCTCGTCTGAGCGATAAATATGACCTTTGTCAATAAACTCTTTAAAATTAGGCATCATAGTTTTTAAGTCTGTAAAATAAATAATTATTCTTATTAGAACTAACTATTTTAATTAATATCAGTATTTAAATTAGTATCAGTACTTTCAAATATGTAAAGTTAATTAATATTTCCCGAGAATAAGACTCACCGAATTTAATTTTAATAAAAAAAAATTTCTTTTTAATTCAAAGCACGCTCACTAATTTCACGTCAATAACTTTTTAACCTTCCACGTCGAGTGTAAGACCCTAACTGCTGCTGCTGCTGCTGCTGCTGCTGCTGCTACCGGTTGTACACCAAGGAGGAGCAACAAGTCTTTGTTCATAAACTTGAGCATGCGCAGTAACTAATATACATTACAACCTGGTTATAAGTTATATTTCTTTCTCTCTTCTACTTAGATGAAATATCTCATGTATAGAATAGATATAACGGCCGTGAGAGTGAGTAGATCATCCGATGTAACTTATAACTAGGCTGTACTATATATGAAATACATGTGTGTGTTTTTCTTTTATATTTCTTAGAAGATAAAATCAATAAATTCCACATAAAATTTTTTTGTTTCTTTTCATTTAATATTTCCGAAATTTTATCCCATTATTATTATTATTATTATTATTATTATTATTATTATTATTATTATTATTATTATTATTGTTATTAATATTATTATTATTATGCGCAAATAACAATACATTTGAAATTTTTTGCAATTCTTCAAACAAATTAAGTATCGTACTAAAATTATTTACAAAAATTTACGCTTTTATTTTTTTTCAATTTTTTCTTGTAAAATTTTTGGTTTAATATATTTTATAAGCTATCTGATTGTCTTAAAGTCTATTACCATAAAAAAATTTTTAACTATAAAAAAACTGCGTCGAACGCTACCGATTGAATAGCTCGAAATAAATACCGCAGGTGATTTAGAGCTTGAATAATTTTAAACTTTGAAGTAGATAATTATTCGTACGTTTTGAGCTCCTATGTAGCCGGAAGTCTTGGGGATGGTTATAGGGGTTAAATTTTCCAGATTATTTTTTCATCTTGTATTTTAGTGTCGTTTCTCTTTTTTAATAAGACATATTTTAAATAACATTTAAGCATCTGATTTAAATACGATAAACATTGATATATTTTGAAGATAGTTGTAATAATTCTAAACGAACGCTCGCCATTGGTTCGGGCTTACCAAGTCCAAGGCAGTGGTACCAGATCGCGTGAAAAAATTTCCCCTTTCAAGACCTCTAGTCAGCCACACAACGTAAGCGATGTGTGTCGGTGAGCCAGAAAGTCAACGAGAGCCGAAAGAAACCGATAGCTGCCGGCGGAAAGAAAAGTGCTACTATCATGTGGTGTAGAGAAAAAACACACACAACGATTACTCCCTGTCCGTGTGAAGCTCTAGAATCCGAGCGTACCCAAGATATAAATGAATTACGCGGAAAAAAATTTTGCATCCTGGAAACAGAATTTATGAATTTTTTTTTTTTTCAGCTGACAAATTTATAATTTACAACCAGTTATAATTCACAATAATTGCTAATGATAATTGTTACCCGATATGTCCTGCAAAGTTTATATATAATTTTTAGCACATTTTTAATAAAAGTTCTTATGGGTGTGCGGTTATATTTTTAACTCCATCACGCACTTTAAGTCGCAGGTTTAAATCCACGGCTGCGTCTTCTTTTTTGTACTATCTATTGTGTTTTGCACGACTCATGATGCGAAGCATCAGAGAGTGCTTTACGATCGAAAAATTTTTTTCGCCTCATTTTAGCAACTATTTTTAGTATTATAGCCTTGATAGTTCACGGAATCAAGATATTTTGCATTAGTATGCATTAGAGTATACTATTGTCGAGGTAATTTCATGGAGATTAATTCCATACTTTCTAAAAATTGATTTACTGCAATAGAAACGGAAAAAAACATCAAAATAGGTCAAAAAATTTTCCTGTCCGTCATGTCTGAAACCCGGAAACACTGTAATTTGTGAAAAAATCAATTATTTCAGTTAAATTTTTTTTTTTAATTCTAACCGATAATTGTAAGCCACTGAATGTGAATGGCTAATTAATTCAGTGTCGTTTAATTACAATTAATAAAAAATGAAAACTACAAGACTGTATTATATACATCGATGTAAAATTAACATGGATGGTGATATATATCTGTAGATATTATGTACATTTATTCCACCAGGGGCGGTTGTGCAGTACCTTCCTACTACAGCTGTTTTTTCGGCAATTAATTTTGAACGACTTAAGTTTTTTTTTTTTTTTTTTTTTTCTATATACTTCATTATTAAATGAGCATTATGAGTCGTGCACTTTTGGATTTTCCAGACTTTCTGTAATTTTTCTTATCTTCCCGCCTGGTGCGATCGTCTTCTCTCGGCTCCTGTCGGGTTTTTGAGGCACCGACACACATCGCTTACGTTGTGTGGTAGACTCGAGGTCTTGGAAGGGGAGTTTTTCGCGCCATCTGACATAGTATTGCTGAGCGGTCGAGCAGTAATGAAGCGCGTCGCTCGACTGGAATGGTTGAGAACTTTCATGTCTTTATTTCCAGTGATAGTCCAAAAAAAATTTACATATCTAATAATTATTTTAATTCAGTATTTGGCAAACAGTCCCCTGTTATGTTTTATGACAAAAGATACATAAATATCAAGAAAGTAAAAATTAATTCGGCTGTTTATTTATTATCATTAAGCTGATAGTTTTGTAGCCATTGTTAATTTTTTTTCTAATAAAATTAAAAATAATTTGGTCGGACAATTTTGTACAGATTTAAGACGTCCTTACAGAGAATCACCCATATCTTTCAATTGAGGATTGAAAAGAAATTTTTTTATTTAAGATTTTGAAATCATATAAATTGTCAAGATTAAGAAAAATAAATACCTTACTGGTTCCGGGTTTAACATTAAATTTTGTTAAATTAACTGGATTTGGCAGTTTTTTAATCATTTCAGCACGTGACGATTCTCGATTGTTTGTCTTCTCGGCCCCTATAACCTTACGATCACTATGGAAATCTCCGATAACATCTTCTTCATCATTCGTCTCTTCATCATCAGAAACATTAACCTAAAAATAATTAAATAATAAATTATCAACTGAATACATTTATTAACTGCAAAAAAGTTAGTGAAACGATCGACTTTCTAAGCTATTCCGAGCTCAAAGAAATAATTTTTGTATAAACATCGAGCTCAAAAGTTGGGTAGATATTTCTCAATTAATTTTAGGAAATTTTCTAACGATAATAACTTTTGGTCAATTTAGCCAATTTATTTTTGTCAGTTCTCTGTAATTTCCAAGATAATTGATTCTAAAAAACTTATTCACATAAAAATGTACAAATTATGATTTACAGATCCGTCAAACTCAACAGTAGCGAAAAGTTTCAGAGCTAGCCTCTAGTGTCTAACGCTTTTTTAATTGTTTCCTTTCAAATAAATGGATGCGCGATAATAAAATTAAATTTTAGATACTTTATGAGTCGTTGTGTACTTTTGGAATTTCCAAACTAGTTTATCTTTAACTAAGAAATTAAACTCGCTTGGTCAAGTTATTGAATATACGTCATTGATTACAAATTTTATGTTCTAAACTGTCATACACTATGGGATTTCTATATATGAGGTATTCCATGCCAAATCGACCACTTTTGAACCCGACCTCTTTAGATTTAGCTAAAACTTTTCTATTCTTCTCTACCCATTAAAAGAGATTATTTAATTGAAAAAAAAAAAAATTGTGAAATTGTCTAAAATAAAAAAATGTTTTTTTTTTTTCAATTAAATAAAAAAAATATAAAAAAAAATTGGCCCTGCTCGAGATAGGCGGGAATAGTTGTCAAATTGATTGAAGTTTTTTTGGAGAAAAAAAATAAAAAAAAAAAGTGACCAACTTTGAAAAAATAACGATTTTGTTAAAAAAAAAAAAAAAAAAAAAAAACCGATTATTTTAAAGAATTGATCATACTCAATTTTTTCGAAAAAATCTTTCAAAAATAAAAATTTAAAAACAAAAAAGGTACCCAAAGGTCAATTTAAAAAAAAGTTATAACTATTAAAAAATAAAAAAGCCATTTTTTTGAAAAATTCTCAACTTTTTTTGGGTTGGATAAAAAAATTCTCAAAAATATCTTTCAAAAGGTAGAAAAGAATGATAAAGTTTCAGCTAAAATCTAAAGGGGTTGAGTTCAAAAGTGATCGATTTAGCATGGAATACCCCATATGTAAGTGTGATATTCATCACTGAAAAACAAAAATTCAAACATAATTATATTGCTGAGCAAAAACTAACATTTGTGAAATTCATGATAAATTCTTCTGTAACATTTGATTTTTTTTGCTTATCATCTGTAAGTAGCATTGTTACAATTCAAGTATTGAGAAAAAATAAAAATAATGAAAAATCATTATGGGAATTAGATAATTACGAAATTATAAAAAAAAAAAGTTCAGTCTCCTCTGAATCAGAAAATATATTAATAAAGCAAACATTTAGCATTTGAATTTTTATGAGATCTGCTAACAACAAAAATTATTTAATATCAATTGATAAAGTTTAAGCTACTGCACGACTTTGACGACAAAAAAATAATAAATAATATACGATTCGTTTATGAGAAAAAAAAAAGAATTTTGTTTTAAATTTTAGTTTGTTATTTTCTAAGTTTGATGAATGTTAAAAGTTAAGAGTTTTTGGTTTCGAAAAATATATAAGGTGATAAATCATTAAATTTATATAGTTTGAAAAATATGGAAATGATAGAGAATATATTCTCTTTGACATTCAAGACAATTTGACAGTTGCATAAACAACATTCAACTTTTTTACAAATAATTATTCTCAAAATTTATATTAATACTATAATATATTAAAAATTAATTATTACCTCGTCTGATTCGGGTATTACGGCAAACTTCTTTTGATTATCTGCTTCTGGTACTTCTGCTTTGTCGTGATTATCCAAGTCTCGATTTTCTTCGTCGAATTCAATGTCTTTAGGGGAGCTTTCCCTAATATGTGTTGCTGATTTATGAGCTCTTAATATGTTATCAACTTTCTTTTTCTTTAATGTAAGTTGACCTTGTTTTTTATTCTAAAAAAGTAAAAAAATAATTATATTCAATTAAAAATTCTTCGATATTGAACAAAGTCGCTTAAAGTAATTTCTTATACTTACTTTTCTGTTTCTCTTAGTCTTTGTTAAATCTGTTTCTTCCTCGCTTGAAGAAGATGAGTCAAGTGATGATAGATTTATAAGTTTAGGGATTCTTACACGTAACTTAGGATCTTCTAATTCTTCTACTGAATCTATAATTTATTATACTTTAGTTAAAAAATGTTGCACACATAGCTATTAAATTATATTTTTTTAACTCTACAAACAAATACAGCAAAGTGTTTTTAGCAATATAACGATTTCTGTATTTTCCAGGCATTCGCTTTAAAAATATTTTGTCAGTTATACTCATCCAACGTATTTCATTTCCAGTTAATAATTATCATTTAATATATTGCTATGAATTATTCTTTCATTTCATGGTAAAATGCAATATTTAATTCATTGACATCTAATAAATTTTTTAATGAATTTTTTATACCTGAAATTTTCAATAACTGAAAATTTCACAAATAAATTTAACAATAAGGTGTTGTTTAAAAATATATTAGTCTGGATGTACTATGTCATGTAACCTTAAGAAATGAAGAAAAGTAATTTTTAATTAAACTTTTTTAGAAAATTTTCAATATGCTAACAATTTAATGTTTCAATCTTAATTAGCATCATCAATAAAAATAAAATACACTATAAAGTTAAAGCATGTAAAAATTGCAACTTTTTTACAAAAATTCAACGATTTTTAGATATTTACCATTTCTACAATTACATAATTAAATTTTTTTCTACATTTGTACGTATTTTATCTTTTCAAACATTAATTAAATAAATAAAATAGTATGAATCTAATTTCACTACTTACCGGACACGTGAAGAATAACACACTTATACTTGTTTTCACCGTCATTATAACGAAAGATTTTGTTTTTTGTAGTTGAATCATATTCTTCAAATTTAGCAATGTATACAGTTTCTAAAATTAATCTGCTTTTTGAATCGGGTGGTAACATTACTAAAGCATACCTCATCTTGAATATCTATTAATATTACCGTATTAAATAATTAAATTATCCATACACAGAAATAAAATGCGTTCTTTACGGTAGACTATTGTACACTGAGCTAACAAGTGACAACTAGCGCCTGGCGTCGCCCTACGCGACACTCAGTCCCATATCCCCACTACTTACTTTACACAAAATGTGTCGCTAGACCCCGTTGATAAGCTGCAAGATATCTATTTCTTGAAGCAAGGAATTAATTTTGTTGGAATAAGTGAAATTTCTTGTGTCGAAAAAAAAAAATTTTTTTCGCCCAAGAAAATAATTTGGAAGAAAAATATTTTCTTGGTTCAAGTGAACCTTTCTTTCTATATAACAGCGATTATCACAAATAGTAATCATATTTATGTATAATGAGCGATGGAATGCTCATTAACGCTTAATTAAATATAATTAAATGGGTAATGAAAAGTTGGTACATTATTCATTAACTTTGAGAATTTTAATGTAAATAATTGAAATACTCATTAAAATTAAGTAATATAAAAATAATAGATTATTCATTAAAAAAAAATTTAATGAAAATTAATTTTTGTTCCATTAAAAAAAAAGTAATGAGTAATGAAAACTGATTTCATTACTCATTATTATAGTAATGAGTAATGAAAACTGATTTCATTGCTCATTATCGTCGTAATGAGTAATGAAACGCTAATGCATTATTTAAAGTAATGCATTTTTTGCAACTCTGGATGGCAATCTCAGTGGGATGCCGC